CCCCAAAACCCCAAAACCCCAAAACCCCAAAACCCCTAATAATATCATAAGAGTTGAAACTAATATTTATAAATTAAATATGATCATAAATTATTGACGGAGGAGGTTCACTCCATCAGCTCAATTTTTTAGTGTAAACCTTAGAAGACTCAGCACAAGTACCTTAGAAGCGAATCAGAGAGTAAGTTTATCACAAAAGTTTTAGGGGCAGGCATCTCCAGAGCAGAGTCAGATTGACCAGGAGAATTTCAAGAAACATATCTCTGCATTCACTTCCTCAAATGAACTGCCTGATTCAGATATGGAACTGAATAACATCATGAGGGCTCTTGGAGATCCAAAGTTTAGCTTTGCTGAGTTTACCGGTCAGATGAATCCAAATAAAAATCTATCAGAAGAAGAAAAACAGAAAAGAGAAGAAGAAGCCAAAGTTTTAGAGGAGAAATACTCCAAGAGTGAGGATTCTATAAAGGAAATTTCCAAGAAATTTGAGGGCCTGAACAGCCACACTCTCCGCATGTTTGAGCACACTCCTTCGAAGATCATCTCTGAAATGGCTGTAAGACTGTTTGTTGGGAGTAGGGATATTCCAAAGAATGTCCCTAAAGCGATGAAATTACTCCAGATTGCAAAGGAGAAAGACTCTTCTTCAATGACTTTTCAAGAACAAAAAGATATAGAGTTCTTCGAAATCATGCTGACACGTATGAACTCAGAGAAGATCAGCGATCCAATACATTTCTGGGCGGTTAACCAGAAATTACGAAGACTTGCTGAGGAAGGACATCCAAATTCGATGTATGTGTTTGGAAGTGAGCTTTTACTTCTATGAACTAATAATGTCATCCAAGATAGAGCTCTTGTAAAGACATACCTCAAAGATGCATTTGAATATCTGACTAAAGCAGCTAAGGAGGGAGTCCACTCAGCTTATTACTATCTTGGCCTGATGCACCAAGATGGGGTGTATGTTACAAAGGACATCAAAAGTGCCTTCTACTGTTTTATAGAGGGAGCTGCTGCCAATAATGCCTTGTGATACTATAATCTATCTCAGATGTATCTCTATGGAATGGTAGATCCCATTGTCCCAAGTCTGTCTGAGAATAATTCCAAATATTTACATTTTAAATACTTGAAGAGATCAGCCGAGGAAGGATTTGTAAATGCTCAACATTTTCTGGCAATCGCTTATTTTGAGGGTATTTTCACTCCAAAAGATGACAAACTTTCCTTAGCTTGGTTTAGAGAGGCGGCGAGGAATGGAAATCCTATGTCATTTATCAACGCAGGGGATTTACTTACTTACGGAAGCAACATAATGGAAGACCTAGCTCCAACATACAATGCAGAGACTCTAAAAATGGTCACTCAAATGTACACAATCCAAAAGAGTAACTTGAAGCCAAATCTTTTATTCGCACTTAGCCAGTACATCTCAGCTTACAGGTTTGGAGCTATTTTCTTAGAAGAAAGGATGAAAATAATTGTCTCACATCTCAGAAAATCTGGAGAATTTATTCGTGAATAAGATACTCAATATGAGTTAACAACCTTGGGGTTTTGGGGTTTTGGGGTTTTGGGGTTTTGGGG